ATCTATTTCTTTATGGTTAGTGTGCATGGTTTTACCATCCTGATTACGCACTGTAGTACTGCACTGTCCTCCTGTTGTTCATCTGTTTGCTCAATAATGTCTCCATTCTGAGACTTGTTGTCACTGTTTTTGGCATATTGAATATGCCTTGAGGAGCTTGCCAGGCTCTGCTGTGCGGGCAGGAGGAACAGAGGAATTGAACCCAGGTTTACTGCGTGCAAGGCAAACGCCCTACCTGCTGTACTATTGCTCCAGCCCCTGATTACTATATTAAAGATAAATTTGTTTATATGTGTACATTCCTAAGTTTTTTCAGAGGACTGAAATAGGGATAAGCTGGAATGAGTTTTGAGCTAATATGTGGGTAGGACAAAGAACTAGGTTCATTACTGTATTCATGTAGGTCCCTCTTGCCGCCCCCCCCCCCCCCCGCTCCCACTTTGTTCCTGTGTAGGTAACATTGAAGAATATGCAATTGAACTATGGACAGCATGAATAAGGAAAAATTTTCCCAAGTGTCATAATCTACTTTGATTTGAGCCCTTAATGTGTATTTATTTTAAAGAAGCAGGTGGGCTGGAGAGACAGTGCAGAGTTATGGTGCATCCTTATATGTGGCTGGCCCTGGTTATAATCAGGTACCACCTGATCTTCCTTTGGGCATTACTGGGTGCAGCCTTGGAGGCCCCTGAGCACCCCTGTCTGGTTCAGTTAGTCCCTGACACTGCAGGGCCAGAGTAGCGCAGACATCCGCTAGCTCTCACATTGAACCATTGACCACACTGGTCAAGCATCCTCTGGCCTCAAGAGCACGGCCTCTAAAACCAAATCAAACCGAAACAGTGAAAACGAGTCAGGAGCAGAGGTGATAGCTCAGAGGGCCTGGAGCACATGGTTTGCTTGTGGGAGCCCTGGATTTGATTCCTACAATAGCGTGTGTCCTCTGCAGCAGTGCGATTGACCCAGGCTCTGGGTGTGGCCCCCAAACAAAATGTCCCAGCCTACCATCAAAGTAGATAAATTCATAGCGGCAGCATCCATTTAATGAGCTTGCAGAGATACCAGAGTTGCATTGTTCTGTTTCACATAGAGTTGGAAGCTCTCTTTTGCAGTGGGTCACTGTCACTGTCACTGTTCTCCCGTTGTTCATCGATTTGCTTGAGCGGGCCCAGTAACGTCTCCATTGTGACAATTGTTACTGTGTTTGGCATATTGAATACGTCACAGGTAGCTTGCCAGGCTTTGCCCTGTGGGCGAGATACTCTCGGTAGCTTGCCAGGCTCTCCAAGAGGGCAGTGGGTAGAGATTATTTACTGAGTTATTGAGTTGATTGTTGAGACATAGCAAATGTTCTGTATATTTTAAGTCCGTCGAAGTGTAGGTGTTGGTAGTGCAATTGAGTTAGTGCATGTTTTACTGATTTTAAAGCTTTGCTTTTGAGATCATATGTAAAACTGTGTGTAATTACTCTTTTTTTTGATAGGTATTTTGTATAGATTGTAACAGGTTTAAAAAAATATATTGGTTGTGAGTAGCACAGTTTCTTGTGAACAACTAGAGGTAAGCTGCTTTGTTACATAGAAGGTTTTCCTTAAAATACTTTATTATATTTGTATTTGTAGTCTTTATAGAAATATGGAAGTGTGTTGATTTTTGACATGTTCATTGTTGCTCAATTGTTAGTTGATGTGCCAGGTGTATATATACATATAACATATATATCTGCACTTTTAATTGTTCATCTAACAATTTTGCTCTTAAAATTATGATCAAAGATGACTAATTCTTTTGAGTACATTGTAATGAAAAAATGGGTGCTAATTTGTGACATGGGGGTAGACTTACTAGTCAGGAGGGTACTCATTTAGAGCCTACTTAAAGAATGTAAATGTGCTCACGCACACCTCCCTTTATTATTACTTGATCTTAAAATTTGACTTTGAGTGGATTTTATTATGTAAACCTTAGCATTATGGAACGTTTTGTCTTATTAACAAATTCTGGTGCATTTGTGCCAGCTTTGTGAGTTCTAATAATACATTTCTTAACTCACAAAAGAATTTTGTTAGGTGATTCCTTAACCAAGACACATGCAAATTGCAGTGTTGTAAGACCTCTGGCGAATGAGTAACTACTTACTGGCCTGAGAGAACACCATGTGATTTATTTTTCAGTTCCTACAATAAAGTAAGGTAAAGGTAAAGGTAAAGGCCCTCCCGTTGATCATCGATTTGCTCGAGCGGGCCCAGTAACGTCTCCATTGGAGACTTTGTTGTTACTGTGTCTGGCATATCTATATATACATTATACTTTATTGTCGATATGCCAGACAATAAAGTATAATGTATATATAAAGAGTTGGATCTAGTATTTATTAAATGCATTCTCCTTGTTAGGCATTATGCAAATACTTTCCTAGAGCCATCTTAAAATTCTTTAAGGATTTTGGGTACATTCAAAACTTAAAAATGGAGATATGGAAGCACAGAAAGGATAAATTTATCCAAGGTCCTGAAATGTGGAGAGAGTTTGCTTGCTGTCCTTCTAAAGGGCACATTAGTTTCACACATTATACCACTTAGAGTTGTGTGTGTACAGATAATCTCTTTCCTTTGAAAGATTATTTTCAGTGTCTTATTTTTTTTAATAAGAATTGGGATAAATTAAAAGTTAAAAATTGAACGTTGTGGAAATTTGTAGTGCCTCTAAGACAAGTGTCTTAAGAACTTGGGAATGTTTTTCAGTAGTGAGTGCTTGCCTTGCATTCTCGGGGAGCAGTAGGTTGATCCCAGCTTCGCCTACGTGGAGGGTGTGATTCTCAGTTTTGCCATTGTGAGTCCTCATGCTGCGACCAAGAGTGACTCCTGCCACTGTATAACAATGAGGAATAAATACCTTAGAGTATTTTAGTAAGGCCCTTTTTTTCCTCAGATATCATCATGGATCAATGATTCTACCATCTTTATGAGTCACTTTTTTTTTTTTGTCTTTTTGGGTCACACCCAGTGATGCACAAGGGTTACTCCAGACTCTGCACTCAGGAGTTACTACTGGTGGTGCTCAGGGGACCATATGGGATGCTGGGAATCGAACCTAGGTCGGCTGCATGCAAGGCAAATGTCCTACCCACTGTGCTATATCACTCCAGCCCCTTTATGAGTCACTTTTAATAGTATTGATACTTTAGATTCAACTTGGATTAGTTTGCCTACATATGTATTATTGATTCCTAATGAATGGCTATATAAAAGATTGCTATACATGGCCCTTTATTTGCATAGCTCTGTTGCTTTATTTGCATAGCTCTGTTGTATTAGGAGTCTTTTCGGGCTGTGTCTTCATCTGTGGTTGTAAATGAGTTTTTGTTCTCCCCATTTGGTTTGGCACTTCATGAAGGCCTGTGTAACTGTTGGGGTACCATGCTCAGTAGGATCTGGTATGTGACGAAGAGCTCGAGTTTGTAAGGGGTTGGGGGCCAACTGTGAATCAAGTTCAGGTGAGCCCGGCCAGCAGGCAGGGTCTCAAGGTTGCTGGCCTGGGTGGTGTTCGGGTTAGGGTTAAGATGAAGCGGAGGGGCCATTGAGGTAGAACAGCAAGTAGAGTGCGTACCTTGCATGCTGCACACCAGGTTCCACCCCCCACACCCAGGTGGTTCCCTGAACCCTGCCAATAATGGTCCACAATTGAGGGCAGGGAGTGGGGGGATGCTGAAGCCTTGGTCCCAGTTGGTAGCAGAGCTGCTGGGAGCACATTCTGGAATTGGTTGGCAAAGGAACACAGTAGACAGTGGCACAGGAGACACCCCCCTCACCCCTTGCCAATTGTTAGGTATTTCTCTGTAGTCTTAACAATTCTGAACAATTTAAACTTAAATCTTTAGCATAAAGAAACTATAAAAAATTTTATTTATTTATTTTTGGTTTGTTTGGTTTTGGGCCACATCTGGTGATGCTCAGGGGTTACTCCTGGCTCTGTACTCAGGAATAACACCTGGAGGTGCTCAGGTAACCATATGGGATACCAAGGATTGAATCCAGGTAGGCTGTATGCAAGGCAAGCACCCTACCCACTGTACTATTGCTCTGGCCCCCATAACAAATTTAAACTTTCAATGACTTACGTAAAGGTAAAGGTAAAGGCCCTCCCGTTGATCATCGATTTGCTCGAGCGGGCCCAGTAATGTCTCCATTGGAGACTTTGTTGTTACTGTGTCTGGCATATCGAATACTCTCGGTAGCTTGCTGGGCTCTCCAGAGGGGCGGAGGAATCGAACTCAGGTCGGCCATGTTGGCTGCGTGCAAGGCAGACGCCCTACCCGCTGTGCTAGAAGGCAGAGGTATCAATGACTTAGGTCTTTCAAAAATTTGTTCCTCTTTTAAAATGGTATTTTACTTTTTTAACACATTGGTGTTGGTACCACAGTTTGTGCTGTTAGCACATGAGCCACTGGTGGTACTTGTTGGCATCAGCATTTTAAGCTAAAAAATGAACCCTTTCTTGGAAAATATCTTTCAAAATACCCCATGATCTCACTCATCAACTGCAGGTGACTAGACCGTGTCCAATGGAATTGAGCCATTAGACTCATATACATAAGTGTGGTTAAGTAAAGCGATAGAAAGTGGGAGGTAAGGTTCCTTTTGGACTATAATGGAGGCTAGTTGGCACTTTGGTGGTGGGTATAGAATGATGGCATTGTGTACCTAAAACCTATAAGCATTTACAGTCTTGGAAACTGATGACACTCAATAAATTGATACTCTTTTGGGTCCTTCCTGGCTGTACTCCAGAGTCTGGGAACGACTCCTGGCCATCCTCAGCCTAGCTACGTGGGCCTAAGGGTTAGGTGTTTGGACCAGCAATGCAGTGTTGATCAGGCCCAGTGGTGCCTGATGCTCCAACCCTCTAAACTATCTCTCCGACCTCAATAATGCAGTAAAAAATTACTTAAAAATTAATAATGATCACAGAACCGCATTGTTTTTTTTCTTTTCTCTTAGCTTCACAATGAAGAAGATAATTCAGAGTCATCTGCAGAGCAGCCCTCAGCTTCAAACCCAGCCCCTCAGACCGTGCAGCCTGCTCCTTCAGTGTGCACACTCGACACTGACTCTTCTCCGCCACCTTATAGTAGTATTACTGTGGACGTACCCACAACTTCAGGTATTCAAGTTGGAAGCCACTAACAATGTTTACTAATTATTTTGATTTTTGTTGTTTTTTTGTATTTTTACCAGTATGGTCTTACGAATTTATCAGGTCTGTTAAGGTGCTTTTTTTGTTTAGTTGGGGGAAGATTCTCCCCCCCCCCCCCCCTTAAAGATAGTTTGTGAAACATTTACCTCCTACATTACTTTTCTTATTTTTAAAGTTAAAAATGTAATTCTTTAGGCTTTTTCATGCTTATTAGAATCTGTTCCCAGTGCATTAGCCTCTTAGAAGGAATCATAGCATGTGTATATGCATGTACATATGTATTTATTATTTAATGTGCATAAATAGATACATCTATGTATATACATAAAACAAGGTGTTATTAATGCATGTGAGTGGGAATGTAGTATATGTAAATAGAGGTAAAGAGTCTCTCTGTGTGTGTGTATATATATGTATATATAATTTTAATCTGCATATGTAGTAATAAATCTTGGGTGCAGTAAATCTTTCCTGTTTATTACTTTGCATTTTATCTTTTCAAATCTCCCAAATACCTTCTCTCATCTATTTGTCTGATCACAGGTTTTTCCTTTTCTTTTCTCCCTCCTTCTTCCCCAACCCCCCCTTCCTCTTCCTCTTCCTTCATCATTTTTGGGTTATACACAGCTGAGCCTGGCAAGCTCCCAGTGGCGTATTCGGTATGTCAAAAACAGAAACAAGAATTCTCACAATGGAGACGTTACTGGTGCCTGCTGAGCAAATTGATGAACAATGGGAGGACAGTGCTACGTGCAGTGCTACGCAGTTGTGTTCAGGGACCACCTTTTTCCTATTTTTTTTTATTTGTTTTGGGGCCACAGTTGGCTGTGCTCAGCTCACACTGGATGTACCAGGGACAAAGGCAGTGCTCGGGATTGAGGCAAGTTTAGCTACTTGTGGGACCAATGCCTTATCTATTGTATAGTCTCTTGCACCCTTATTCTTGAATTTATCTCTTCATTCCAGGATAAATTCTGTTGTTATGTTCTAATTTAGTCAGGGTTTAGATTTGCTAAAAGTTTTTTTTTTAATTTTCAACTTTATTAAAAGGATCTAATTTCTTTTATATCACTGTCGTTTTGGTATTAATATATTGAAGCAACATAACATGACTTGAGATGTTTCTCACATTTCTATGATCTGTGATAGTATAGCACAGCAGATAGGGTGTTTGCCTTGCACGTGCATTTTTTTTTTAATTAAAATTTTTTTTAATAATGAGACATCATGAGGTACAGTTGCAGACTTAACACATTTTTGTGCTTGGGTTTCAATTATACAGTGATCAAATACCCATCCCTTCACTGGTGCCCATTTTCCACCACCACGGATCCCAGTATCCGTCCCACCCCCCATCCCCCCCATTCCACCCTGCCTCTGTGGCAGGGCATTCCCTTTTGTTCTGTCTCTCTTATTGGGTGTTGTGGTTTGCAAAAGAGGCAATGGGTGACAATCATGTTTAGTCTATAGTCTATACTTTCCGCATGCTTCTCCCATCCTGGGAGGATCCTCCCAACAGCTTTATTTGGTGTTCCCTTCTTTATATGAGCCCCCTTTTCCCCTAGTATGTGTGATTGGCCTCCAAGCCAGTGCATGTTTTTTTTTTTAAAGTGATAAAATTTAATGGCACAGGTGATTCAGGCATTGTTTTTTTTTTTTTTTCCTCTTTTTTGGTTTTTGGGTGCCACCTGGTGTTTTTTCAGAGGTTACTATCAGGAGCGATAGCAGAGCGATAGGGCATTTGCCTTGCACACCGGACCGGCCGGCCTCGCAGGGTTCGATTCCTCCACCCCTCTCTGGCAAGCTACCTGTGACATATTCGATATATTCCAAACACAGTAACAACAAGTCTCACAATGGAGATGTTACTGGACCAGCTCGAGCAAATCGATGAACAGTGGGAGGACAGTGCTACAGTGCTATCAGCTCAGGGCTTGGAGGTCACTCCCTGGTTTTAGGATTATGTAGTAAGGGAGAGTGAAGCCGGGACTCCTGCACACAAAGCAGGAATTCCACCCGCACGGAGCCCCCTCCTTGACACCTAGGGTTTAATTATTTTTCTTCTTTTTCTTTGTTTTTGTGCCACCCCCATCGGTGCTCAGGGCTTGCTCCTGGTGGAACTTGGGTGACCATACACATGCTAAGGATTGAAGCCATGTGTCCAAACTGCTGTGTCTTTCCGACCTGAGTTTAAGTATTCCTGTTATTATAATATTGGGTCTTTTTTCCTTTCTTTTATTTTTAATACTATTGTTAAAAGTTTTATGGCTATAATTGAGCACAGTAACTCGGAAGAGAGAATTCTAGAACACTGTTCTCTGCTTAATGAGAAAAATTGATATTTTAATTTATTAATCAGTGTTATTATATCTTAAGCATGAGTAGTGCCAGTCTTTTTGTGGACATTGTATTCTTCTGCAAGTCACTTTATGTCTGGTTTAATAGGTCTGAGCAACATTAATAATAGGTGAGAACTGTATAATGCCTCACATTTAATAGTCCTCTTGAATTCTCGCCTTCTTTATCCCGTAATAGCCTTGTTGTATCAATTTTGCGGATGAGATAGTGGAACTTCATAGTACTTAAGTGATTTGCCTGCGGTTTCATAACATCTAAGAAGATGATCTGGGTTTGAAGCTTCCCAGACCGTAGGTCTTGTGGTTGAGAACCACTGCCCTTCAAAGGATAGGAGAAAAATAAGTAAAATTAACAAGTAGGGGTTAAAACTCTAGCAATGTAATGTTTTTTTTTCTAGCTTTTTTCAGTTGCTAGTTGGGATTTTTTTTAGTATTTCTATATTCGTGTATAAAAAAAGGCATGGATTTTTGTGTATTGGTTTTGTAACTCTACTATACAAATTTATTGTTTCTAGGAGTTCTTTTTGCTAGAGGTTTTAGGTTTCTTTAAGTATAATATCATGTCATCTGCAAACAGTGAGAGCTTGACTTCTTCCTTTTCTATCTGGATGCCCTTAATATCTTTTTCTTCCCTAACTGCTATAGCAGGGAATCAACCACAAGTGTGTGTGGGGCAGAGAGTAGGTAAGAAGACAGAGAAGGGACCAGGATAACAGTAATAGCTGGAAATGATCGTGCTGGATAAGAACTGCTAAAAGTAGGTAAAGGGATAAACCAAACAGCCTTTCAGTATCTGTATTACAAACACAGTGTCCAGAATGAGGGAGTGGGAAGGGAGGAGAAACTGGGGACAACGATGCTAGGAAATGTACACTGGTGTGGGGATGAATGTTGGAACACTGTATGACTGAAACCTTCACTTAATCACTTAATCACTTAACTTCCCGTTAGTCGGCGATTTGCTCGAGCGGGTGCCAGTAACGTCTCCATTTGTCCCTGTCACGTGCTAGTGTAGCCCAATGGCATCTGTTCGCTCCGGGAACATGAAGGGCCTCAAACTGATCGTTCATGATCTTGATGAAGAAGTCTGACCATCTGGTAGGTGGGCGGCCACGCGGTCTTTTGACATCCCGTGGAATCCAGTCGGTAACAGCTCTAGTCCAGTGGTCGTCTTTAAATCTCATTACGTGACCAGCCCATCTGATTTTTGACACCTTGGCAAATGAGACAGCGTCCCTGATTCTTGATCGTCGACGGATGTCAGAACTCCGGATTCTTTCTCTCATTTGAGTGAAACGTGATATTCCAAGCATAGCTCCTTCTATTCTTCTTTGGGAGACCTGAATGGCGTTCTCATCTTGTTTGCATAGGGCCCAGGTCTCTGAGGCATATGTTAATGCAGGAAGAACAGTGGAATCAAAGAGATGTGCCCAGAGCCGGAGGTTCTTCGTCCACTTAGCTATTTCTTCGACGTTCTTAAAGGCGTTCCAAGCCGTTCTCTTCCTCCTGCGCAGTTCGGGTGCCAGGTCATTTGTCATGTTGACCTCTCGACCTAGGTACACATAGCTGTTGCATTTGGAGATGGTCGTTCCATTGAGAACGAATGGGGCGTCAGGAACGAGGCTGTTTCTCATAAAGATTGTCTTTGTAAGATTCAGCTGTAGTCCTACCTTTCCACACTCACGGTCAAAGTCGGCCAGCATTTGTGCCGCTTGGCTGATGTTTGGTGTTATTAAAACAATGTCATCAGCAAAGCGGAGGTGGTGTAGTTGCCGACCATCTATCTTCACTCCCATTCCTTCCCATTCCAGTCGTCGCATGATGTTCTCGAGGGTGGCACTGAAGAGTTTTGGTGAAATGGTATCACCCTGCCGCACCCCTCTCTTGACATCAACGATCACTTCTTTGTAGAATGGTGAGATCCTGGTAGTGAATCTGCAGTACAGCTCACGGAGGATCCTGATGTATTGGGCTTGAATGCCCTGATTGGCTAGGGCTTCAATGACCGCTTCCGTCTCAACAGAATCAAAGGCCTTCTTTAAATCAATGAACGTTAAACAGAGCGGCATCTTGAACTCCCGAGAAACCTCAATGAGCATGGTTATTGTGTGGATATGGTCGATGGTGCTGAATCCTTTGTGGAACCCTGCTTGCTTGCATGGTTGTCCTTCATCTAGTGTTCTGCCAATCCTATTTAGGATGACTCGAGTGAACAACTTGTAGATGACAGACAATAGGCAGATCGGGCGATAGTTGCCAATGTCATGGATCTCTCCCTTCTTGAACAGTAGTACGGTCCTGCTGGTTTTCCATTGGGACGGAACCTTGCATTCAGACAGGTAGTGAATGAAGAGCCGAGCCAGTGTATTGATGAGTACTGACGGCAGGTTCTTCAGGTGTTCAGGTCTGACCTTGTCTGGGCCGGGTGCTGTTTGTTTCTTTACCGACGAAATGGCGTGTCGGATTTTGGAAGGGAGAACGTTGGGAACGACATATCCATCCTGTGGAATTTGGTATGTCGGCAAGTGGACATGGCTATCGAAGAGATTTGAGTAGAAGTCATGGATAATCTTCTCCATTGCCTTTCTGGAGGATGTGATGGATCCATCAGGACGTCAGAGGGCAGTCATCTTGGTCTTGTAGTTGGCGAAGGACAGGCGGGCGTTACGAATACTTTTCCCGGCTTCTGCCGCATCTACCAGTACTTCTGTTCTTCTCTCTTTGAGGTCTTCCTTGATCGCATCTCTGCACTGCTTTGTGAGCTCGGACGTTAGCTTGCGGTTGCCTGAGGCATGCGCCAAACCACGCTGGCGAATTAGCTCAAGAGTTTTCGAAGATAGGCGATTTTTTGTGGCTATCTCTCTCTTGGCGTTCCTCGCACATTCGTGGAGGTGCTGAACCAGTCGATCATATTCCTCGTCAATGTTGTCAACAATGGCATCTTCCCATGTTGCCACAATAGTACCAAAGAGTTCCCAGTTGGTGGTCATTCTGGGAGTTCTCTTTTTGAACTTTGCAGCCCTTTCTCCCTGCTCTGTGAAGTAGAATTTTGCACGAAGGAGACGGTGGTTCGATCCCGTTCGAAATTTTGGGACAACAGCGACATTGGTCAGGCAAAACCGTCGATTGAATATGATGTGGTCTATTTCGTTGTGGAATCGTCCACTGGGAGACTCCCATGTCCATTGTTTAGATTCTGCCTTCCGGAACTGTGAGTTACCATGAATGGTCTTGGTCGACATGATGAACTCAGACAGTCTCTCACCCTGTTCGTTCCATTCTAGGCCATGGGTCCCGATGTGAAGTTCTTCAGCTGATCTTCTCGGTCCTATCTTGGCATTAAAATCACCCACAATGATCTTGTAGAAGGTGTGGTCTTCTTTATAGAACTTCTCTAGCTCCATGTAGAACTTCTCGATTTCTCTTTCATCATAATGAGATGTTGGTGCGTAGACAACGAAGATAGAAACTGCAGGCAGTGAGCCACATCTATTCAAATGTAAAAGTCCGATTCGGGTTGTTAGGCATTCCAATGAATCAATGCTCTTGGCCAAGTTTGTGTTGACAAGGACACTGACGCCTCCAACACTTCTTTTATCGCATGTTCCGAGGAACAATTCTTCTCCAGTGTCGAAAATGGCATGGTGAGATTCGTGCCTTTTTGTCTTGGTCAGACCAGTGATGTCGTACTTGATCATTCACGCTTGTACCATCAGGTCCTTGATGGATGCATCTAATGCTAGTGTACGTGCATTGAAAGTACAGACGATCATTTTTGTCTTCCTTCGTTGTGGCAGCCTAGGTCGGCCTTGAGATTTTGTCGGCCTCTCCTTTCTCATCCTTCTCAGGGCTGCCATGTCGGTGAAGCCTTCAGGGTCAGGTGAATGAGACCAGTTGTAGTTACTGGTTTTGGCATATTGAATACACAACGGATAGCTTGCCAGGCTCTTCCGTGCGGGCGGAATACTCTCGGTAGCTTGCCAGTCTTTCCGAGAGGGATAGAGGCTTTTGGGGTGACCTCTAATCACCCTTGTAGGTGTTACCATATTTGAACCCTATCAAATATGGTACGACAATTCCGGAAGATGGGTATTTAGTGTCTTATGATGTGTCGCGCCCTTTGTGGCCGCGCAGGTCCGGAAAGCATCCTGGAGTGTGGCGACGGCTGCGTAGTGGAAGTAGTGTCTGTATGACTGAAACCTAATCATGAACATCTTGTAAAAGTCTATCTCACAGTGATTCAGTAATAAAATCTTTACAAAAATGAGATCACATTTCTAAACAAAGATTATAGGCAAGCAAATCAAGTATTTTGAGCCTGGCATTTAGCACACAGACGATACTTGGATGTTGTTTTTTTCCTTCGCTTTTCTTGCACATATTTTCACAATCTCATTCTTCACATTCTTGTTCTTTTCTACCAGCCTTTAGATCATATTTACCAGCTCTTTCTCTTTATAATAAAAAATACAGAGCTAATAATATACATGTTTTTTGGTAGTAATTTGTATTATGTGTCTTGTAACAGAGCTCAAGACTATTACACATTATTCAAGTTAGATTTGGGGACTTCAGATCAAAATAAGTTGTGTTAGTGATTGTTCTCTACCCTTGTTCCTTCAGATGCTGAAGTTTACAGTGAGTTCTATCCCGTGCCGCCTCCCTACAGTGTCGCTACCTCTCTTCCTACTTACGATGAAGCTGAGAAGGCCAAAGCAGCTGCAATGGCAGCGGCAGCAGCAGAAACAGCTCAAAGAGTAAGAACACTCGCTCGTTTCCCCTCGAGGAGTACTGTTATGAGTTGGTTTGTACATTTGATAATAGCAAAAATAGGTCTGTGTATATCACTGTCTGTTGACGTAGATTTCTTCCTCTTTTTTTACTTTTGCTCTCTTTTTTAGTCTTTTCTTTACTTCTGTATCTCAGCAGTACAATATGCCCCATCAAAAACACTGTTGTGGTCACAGTAGCTAATGCAGCCTGCAGATTAGGGCCAGTGTGGCAGGGCTCAGTACCCAGACTTCTCAGGCACTCAATAAGTATTCTATTATATGCAGTTGTAAGTGGTGAGTTGAAAGCTTATTTATCTCAGCCACTTACTGGAGAATGTAGGAAATAAATGTGTTGGTAGAATGTATATTACAGGATAATGAAGGCTGTGTATATGGACGGTTTATAAACACAGACATTCCTGATTTTCAAATAATTCACTTGAAACATTTAAACTGCCACGATCTTAAATTAGTCCCTTTTTATACCCTATAGTGGGTAGGATTAACTTTTTTTGGTAACATGTTTTAAATTGTTTTAACGTCTCTTTCAACATAGTATCTAGCACTTGATAGATAAATGGTGAGCATCTTCATCTTTTTGTGTACAGTTTTAGCACTTAGCTGTTATCTGGCACGTGTTTGGTGTTTAATAAAAGTATGATTAAGCTACTAAGTGCTCTCTTGACAGTTCACTAGTGTGAGAAATGAGGAAGAAGACAGAAACCCTAAGTTCTCTTACATATCTTGACTTTAAAATATTTCATTGTCTTACTAATGGAAGGATTTATAAGGTGTATAAATAAAGGATTTAAAAATTAAAGTTATTCAATTCCCTTGGAAAGGTAGTACATAAAAAAGGCAGTGTGTTCCCCTACTGTCTTTGAAATAGTTTATTTAATATTTTTTTGATCACTAGGAGTAATCTCTTGACAGAGTAAGGAGCAAGCCCTGAGCACTGCTAGGTGTGGCCTCCCCCCAACTTCTTTTTGAAGTTGCCCATGAAAAATGAGTACTTGCTAATTTTTTTTTAAATGAATCACTGTAAGATAGTGACAGACTTATATTTAATTAGGTTTTAGTCATACAATGTCCCAACACCAGTTCCTTCACCAGTGTACATTTTCCATTACCAATGTTTCGGGTTTTTCTCTTGCCACACACTATCTTCCCCCCCTCGCCGCCCCCTTCCCCCCAGCTTGCCTCGATGGCAGATACTTTTCTTCTTTTCTTTCTCTCTTTTTAGGCATTATCGTTTGCAATACACGTACTGAAAAGGTATATCTATATATCACTTTATATCACTTTATTTGTATACCACTTTACCTCTTTTCAGCACTCAGTTCTTGTCCAGAGTGATCATTTTCAACTATCATTGTCAGTGGTCCCTTCTCTGTTCTATCTGCTCTTCTCGTCTCCCACTTCCAGCCATGGACCACTGCTCCTGGCTCTTTTTCCTACACTTTCTAGTTTGTTTGACTACTTAATGTGAAATTGCTGACATTGTAGTCATAATCTCATTTTGTCTGTACCAGAAATCGAGGACAATTAGGTTTTATTTAAATTCTTTTCTTCTAAAATCAGATGATGATTACTTTGAGATACAATAATACTGTATTTCACAGATTCAGGAGGAAGAGTGTCCACCAAGAGATGACTTCAGTGATGCAGATCAGCTCAGAGTGGGTAATGATGGCATTTTCATGCTGGCGTTTTTCAGTAAGTGATTTTTTCTTCTCCCCAGGCTATGTTTGTTTGTTTGCAAAAATTGGTCATATGTATGTTTAGAGTAACAAAGTCACTGACAGAAGGTAGATATTAATTTTGTTTACCTTTTTTTGGGGGCACATCTAGTGATACTTAGTGGTTACTCTTGCACTCAGGACTCACTCTGACAGAGCTTTGCACTCAGGACTCACTCCTGACAGAGCTTGGGGGACCATTATAGGATGCTGGGGACCAAACCCAGGTCAGCTGCATGGAAGGCAAGTGCCCTACCCAGTGCACCATAGTTCTAGCCCCAGTTCTCTCTACCTGTTACAGCATAAAAATTTCTCATTTTATGATATTAAAGTGTGTTCATGTTATACAAATCCTAGAATTTAATAAAATGCTAATTATAAATTATAGGTATGCTCAGTGGTAACGGTACTGAGTTATAAAAGCATATTTCAATTTAATATGTTTTTGTTGAGAATGTTACAGGTCTAGTCACTGCTATAGGAGAATGTAGAATTAAACTAAATCCTGCTTCCAGGGCAGAAGACTTCCATTTGAATGTCTTTAAATAAGAAGAAAGATTGGAAAAGGAGATGATATATAGGGCAACTGGACAATAACTAAGAAAAGAAAAATACATAAATCTTATTTGGGGGCAGGGAGGATAACAAGTAGAAGGATAGAAACCTAAGTAATTTTTAAAAATTTTTTAAATTTATTAATTTATTGAATCACTGTGGGAAAAGTTTTCAGGTTTAAGTCTCGGTCATGCAATCATCAAACACATTTCCCTTCACCAGTACTTACTTTTCACCAAGAAGAACCCCAATATAACCCCCTCCCAACTCTCCCAGTGCCTGTGAGGCAGATGAATTCTAGTTAACACTCTATCTACTTTGATTGGGTTCATTGTTTCGACAAAAGATGTATCATTATTATGTAGAGTTTATACCTCCAAATCAGACCTGTTGAAAAGACTTTCTGAAATAATTTCTTTCTATAGCTGGTTACAAGAATCAAATTATTTTGGATTTCTGATATTTTACTTATTAAGCCTGGAAGTATTTCTGCCGAGAGTCAGATAATTATGAGACTGGCTTCTGTGGCTCTAGAGCCATGGGCGTGCCAGAGAGCCGCTCATGGGGGGCAACTCGTGACCTCGGTAGGGCATGGAGGACGAGCCCGGAACGCCCCTCTTCCCATGAGCTCTCAGTCGCCCCCGTCACGACCGGCTTTCCAAAAAGCTCCAAGGCCCCTAAGTAATATTTTCTAATCTTGCAAATATTTTTTTGGTATGAAAAAAATAAAAAGCCATCAAATCCAGGGCTCATGCATACAGCGCATGAACTTTACTACTGAATCACAATCCTTGCCTATTCCTTCAGATTTCTTAATTTAGTAATTGATTAAATATCCATAATTTCCTGAGGTAAGATAGTTATAGTTCTCACTACTACATTGTTTTTGTTTTTAAAGAATCTAGCTTGATTTATTAAATAAGTAACATATATAATCAGTGCTTTAAATTCATAGCAACTCAAGAAAGCACTTTCTGTTACTTTTTTACAAATGTACCTTTCTGGTTTGGGAGCGGATGCAGTGATGCTGCGGGATCACTCCTGGTGGGGCCTGGGGACCATTTAGGGTGTTGGGATCGAACCTGAATCAGCCACATGCAAGGCAAATGTCCTACCAACTGTGCTATCACTTCGGCCCATCAAATTGTTTGCTTTTTTTTTTTTTAAAAATGTGATTTATAATGACATGTAGAGTAAAGATAATCCAGGCCACGTCTATAAGCAGTGACAAGTTCTCACTATTTCAGTTTCTAAAGATGATGACACAGTTGAAGTGTGACATTCAACTTTAAAATAGAAAGCGTAAAATACACATTCTTCTTGAGTTACTTTTGAATCTGAAAATCACTTGTATTTTCCTCCGCTTTGACGGTCTTTTATTTCTGAAGAGTAATCTGCTGAAGAATAGAAGTAGATAATCACTTAAAAATGTTTGGGTGAGCCAGTTTTATTTTCTCTAATTTACTAAGTTATATTCATGATGATAACATCTAATGTATATATGAAATTTACTTTCCTAGTCACATCATGTTTGATACAGTAAAAAGGCAATGAATGCATTTATAATTTATTTATTTATATTTTGCTTTTTTGGTCACATCCGGAGATGCTCAGGGCTCTGCACTCAGGAATCACTGCTAGTGGTGCTGGAGGTGGGGGCGGGAAGTGGGGACCATATGGGATGGTGGGATTCCCCAGTTGGCTGCATGCAAGGCAAATGTCCTACCCGCTATACTATCGCTCTGGCCCTATTTTTTAAATATTTTATTCTTTGTGGTTTTGGGGTCATACCTGGTGGTCTTCAGTTGCTACTCCTTGCTCATTGCTTGGGGAACCATGTTGGGGGACCCTGTCATATTGGGGATCAAACCTGGGACTCCCACATGCAGAGCAAATACTCTATTCCTTTGAGTGATCTTCTCAAAGACAAAGAGAAGACATGAGCTCCAAATGAGTATGGTTTGGTCCTGCTAATCTAGTGGATTGATGAACAACAGGAGGACAGTGCTACAGTCTAGTGGATCTTGGTTTTTCTTCTAAGTTTTTTTTTTTTTGTAGTTCACCTAGTGTATTTAGTTCACCTTTTATATTTTGAATACATTTTTCAGCCTCTAGGGAGATAGCTCAACAGACTGCATGCTTTGCCTGCAGAAGACCCATGTTTGATCCTTGCTGGACACTGAATATGGTCCCCTGAGTACTCAGTGAGGAGAAACTCCTGTCACAACTGGGTGTGACACCCCATTCATGTCCTGCAAAAACTGAAAAAATAATTTTAAAAAAATCATGTAAACATCTTAATTGGACAGGAATGAATCGAACTGTATTGTACTATTTGTATTATATAAATGCCTATTAGGAATAATAACGTACTTGATACCATCTGATTATTGACTGAGATCTTAATTATTATCTATCACTGTATTTCATTTAACCTCTTTATTTTTTAGTCTCAGTTTCTTTTTATTTTAAAATGTTTCAGGGATATATATAATTGTAAATGCATGGTTACTTAGATACGTGGTTGAATTTTGCCCATTGGCAATAAATATTGAACATAAATATGTTTATGTTTAATGTAAATTATCTGAAATTTTATTAAGTTATATTTAATCTAAATTATATTTAATTTAGACACATAAGATTTACAAAGTTATTCGTAGTTGAATTTTAGACATACTATGTTCCAGCACTGATCCCGCCACCAGTGTCCCTAGGTTCCTCCTCTCCCCTGCCAGCCTCTTTGTGCAACTTACATTTTTATATACAAATGTTGCACCAGTGTCACAAAAGTAAAATTACAAATTTCATTTCATGACTTCTTTTTCTTAGTAGGCTGGTGCTTGGTCGTGTGAAGTATAGATTTATTTGTAATTACTACCATCTAGTGGCTGTTCTCTAAATTGCAGTGTGCTAATTTTCTGTGCTCACGTTTTTAGTAGCGATTGTCTCAATTCTATTCTGTTGTCTATTTTTGGGCTTGAGAACTTGATTTTATCCATTGTGGCTTACAATTTAAGCATTTATGTATACAAATAAAGCCTCAATGAATATTAGTGGTTTCAATTAAAACCTTTTGTTGTTTTTATTTTTTTTTCTGTTTCAGTGTTTATGTTTCAGTTTCTTATTGCTATAATCCTAAAAGTTTGTCACCTGAGCTTGGTGAGATAATCACATATTCATGTTCAGAAAATGTAAAGAAACCTCTCTCTTTCTAATAATGCATTTACTACTTTATCCTTTTTAGTGTTGCCACAGAATGTCTCATACATACCTAACCTGCATATATCCGATCTTACTTTTTTTAAAAAAAATTGAATATATCTTTAATGAATCACCATGAATTACAGAATTACAAAGTTATTCATGATTGTGTTTCAGGTATACAGTATTCCAACAGAAGTCCCTTAACCAGTGTCCACTTCCCTCGCCAGTGTCCTCAGTTTCCCTCCTGTCCTCCAGCCTGCCAGTTTATCTCTGTTCCTTTTTTTCCCTTTTAGGCAGTATGGTTTACAGTACTGTTACTGGTAGGGTATCATGCATATGACTTTACCTCCTTTCAGCACCCAGTCCTCCTCCAGAGTGATCACTTTCCTCTCTCATTGTTGTAGTCCCTTCCCTGACCTGTTCCCCCTACCCCACCCCCTGTGGCAAGTTCCTACTAAGGACCAGTTCCCCTGCACTTTATTGCCTCTGAGCATTAGTTATTCCCCATGCTTCTTTAAATCCCACATGAGTAAGATCATTCCGTGTCTGTCCCTCTTGTTCTGACTCATTTGACTCTAGATTCATCCGCATATCAGCAAATTGCGTAACTTTATATTTTCTTATGGCTGAGTAGTATTCCATAGTGTATATGTACCATAGTTTCTTTATTCAGTCTTTTGTTCTTGGGCACTTGGTTTATTTCCAGATTCTGACTATTGTGAATAGTGCAACAGGGAACATAGGAGTACAGATGGCTCTTCTGCATTGTGATTTTGGGCCCTTGGGATATATTCCCAGGAATGGAATGGCTGAGTCACTTAAAGCTCAATTCCTAGTGTTTTTTTTTTTTTTTTTGAGAAATGTCTTTTTTTTTTTTTCCCTTTATTTTATTTTATTTTTTTTAAAGTTGTAGATTTACAATTTTTTGTGCTTTGGTTTCAATTATACAATGATCAGATACCCATCCCTCCACCAGTGCCCACTTTCCACCACCATGGATAATATCCCTCCCACCCCCATCCCCCCATCCCCCCGTCTCTGTGGCAGGGCAATCCCCTGTGTTCTCTCTCTCCTTTTGGGTGTTGTGGTCTGCAAAAGAGGCATTGAGTGGCAAACATGTTCAGTCCATAGTCTACTTTCGACATGCATCTCCCCTCCTGGGAGGATCCTCCAAACATCCTTTATTTGGTGCTCCCTTCTCTATCTGAATAGCCC